AGGGATCGAGGGTCTCGCGCCCATGGAGCCTCACCGTCATCGCGAGCAGCCGCATCGCAGACTCGTACAGCTTCCCTCCTCTCGCCAGGTCCTGGCGAGACCAGAGGCCGCGGGTGGGGGTGAGTTGGCAGGAGACTCCATCGTAGAAGAGCCTCTCCTCCTTCAGCGCCCTCCTCGTCTCCTGCAGCAGCTCTAGGATGGAGACGGAATGGACATCGAGGTCCAGCAGCAGCGCCTGGAAGTCACAGACAGTCTGCAGAGCCAGCCCAGTGCACTCATGGAACTTCCCGCCCATCACGTCGTTAAGAGCTCGCAGCCGGCTCCACTTCATGGACTTGGACGAGCTGGAAGACAGCTGGGCTCTCTGCTTGCCGTCGAGCGGGAGCCACTTGCTCTTGACGGCTGCTAAGTTCTCCTGGCTGAAGAAGACGGACTGAGGGAAGAACTGGTCCGGGAAGAAGCAAGTTGCCTTGTCGCAGCCGGAGGGGGTCAAAGGGATACATCTGCCCTCCCCTTCCCATGCTATGAACAGCGGAGGCAACTTCTGGACCCCCTCCTCCTTCCCCCCTCCTTCCCACGTCCATGGTATGAAGATTGTCTCCCTCCACCTTCGCTCCCTGCTCCTCTTCTCCTGATCGCTCGCAAGAATGTCAAGCAGCACAATCACCCGCTGCAGCACGTTGGCTGCCGCTTGCAGGATGACGGGATGGTACTCAACCTCTCCTCCGGGGGGACAGTCACCGGCGTTCAGCCGGACACAGGACAGCACCTGCTGCCATGCTCCCTCCACATCGCTGCTCATTTTCCTCAGGATCCTGTCAAACTTGACAGAGTTCGCCCCTTGCAGCTCAGCCTGCACAGCATGTGCCAGAGCGTGCCAGTACATCTCGACGCCCACCAGGCAGCACGAGAGCGAGTGTAGCACTGTACCGCTGTGCACGATCCAAGGGACGAGAGGGGCAGGGGAAAGACCATGTGTACCTGTGTAGTCCTTCAGCCTGTCCATCCAATCTGAGAAGGGATGGTTGTTGGAGCTCGGGACGTCGGCAGCATCCACGGAGAAGAGAAAAGTTCGAAGCTTTCGGCAGTCGAACAGGTCGTCCGAAGGGAAGACCTTCCCTCCCCTGATATCAAACCGAGAGAACATGGGGGCAAGGATACAGCTCTTCAGCGCTAGCTCGTATGCCTGAGCAAACACGCCCTTCCCCGGTGACCGCAAGGTGGATGCAGCTGCGAGCAGACTGCAGTCCCCGACTTCCTTCCTCCCGCTCTGTGAGAGTTTTTCCTTGAGCTGTTTGAGGCAAGACATGCCGGAACCGCAGGAACGAGAAGTTCGATCTCAGAGACGAAGGTCGGTGATCATTTCAAGCGTCAACGGAGGAACGATACAGATCTACGACATGTTTTGTCAAATGTTGCTTGCATACAATACGCTACATGCATCATTCGCTTCATGCCCTTGAAGTAGCAACGCATATGGATAACGATCAATACCTTTCAGGCCTATTTTGTTTATCACGTGGATCGCACCACCATCTATTCAAGTGCCCTGTTCCTGAACTCTTTCATCTCCCCTCCAATGCTGCTGAAGCTCCTCTCAATCCTCTTCCTGCTCATAATGCAACTCCTTCAACTGTTCCTCTTACCGTTCCTCACCTGTCCCCCTTGATGCTCCTGCTCCTCTTCCTCATAATGCTCCTACTCTCAATGCTCCTGCTCCTGCTCCTACTCTCAATGCTCATGCTCCTGCTCCTACTCTCAATGCTCCTGCTCCTGCTCCTGCTCCTGCTCCTGCTCCTACTCTTTATACTCCTGCTGATGCTCCTGCTCTTGCTGCTCCTGCTCCTGCTCCTGCTCCTGCTCCTGCTCCTGCTCACACCACTGCTCCTTTTGCTTCGTCCTGCTCCTGCTCCTGCTCCTGCTCCTGCTCCTGCTCCTGCTCCTGCTCCTGCTCCTACTCTTTATACTCCTGCTGATGCTCCTGCTCTTGCTGCTCCTGCTCCTGCTCCTGCTCCTGCTCCTGCTCCTGCTCCTGCTCCTGCTCCTACTCTTTATACTCCTGCTGATGCTCCTGCTCTTGCTGCTCCTGCTCCTGCTCCTGCTCCTGCTCCTGCTCCTGCTCCTCCTCCTGCTCCTCCTCCTGCTCCTCCTCCTGCTCCTCTAGCCAGCTGTCCATTGACATGACCGGCTTTCACTTTCACCTCCCCGACACGCTAGCTGTGACTGCACGACCTTGCACGCACCAGCATAGTTTGCACCAATTGTAACGGTTATTGTAACCGTCAAATAATGATTTTGGAGCTTTGGAGCTGCTCACGTGTAGCGGCCATGCTGCAACAGAGTCGTAGAGTGGAAGATAAGGGGTAATGGGCGTTCGGCTGGAGCAGGGGAGGGACGAGAAGGTCAGGGAAGCTTGCTCAGTCAGTGGAGGAGGGAGGAGGAGAATGGGCGGGACCAGAATGGAGAGCTACGGGGAGAGATGGCTGAAGATCCAATGGGAGGATTTCATGCAGAGGATTTCTCGAGTATTGATTTCATGGCTCATGAGGATGTTCAGCAAGTTTGAGTGACTTTCTGAGTTGTTGATTGATCTGTAGAGGAAGAAAAGTTTACAATGGTGTCGTATCCGTGCAGATGAGCGAACGAAGAATAACACAACTTTCATGAAATTCCTCCATGATGGTAGTTTAAGGGAATCAGCGGATGCCTCCTGAATGATAACGTTCCAATAGTGTCATAGTGTCCGAAAGAGAGAATGAAAAGAGGAATTGTGAGGATAGAGGCATCTGTGGTCCTCAGAGGGACGGCCATCAACCTTTCAGTAGCTCGAACTGTCTTGCGACTCCTTTCTTGCCAAACAGGAAAATTGAAGTCTGCATGAAGAGGAGCGATGATCTTATGGTCTCATCCCTTTCCCGTGAGACCTGATAGTCTAAGACAGTGAGACGAGAGTTATTCACTGCGGGAGTTGTCGAAATCATGCTGCCCATGACGAAATGAGTAGAGTGAGCCCTGAGTTCTGATATGCCGCATGCAAACATCACGTCCATGCGCTGACATCGACCAGAGCAGAGACATCCAAATTGATCTAATTGTGTGATGCTTGTCTGCAGGTGTCAGTTTGGAGAACCCGAGCTTCATGTTGGGCCTGTAAGGCCAGTACAAACGATTGAGTGTTACCAGCATTGCACATCGCAGTTTGAACAGTCCGGACTGTCAAGTCTCACGTACATGAACTTGTCCTGGACGCGTGTTTCGATTGTGCAAGGGATGATCCCTGCACACTTGTCTGCACAGCTTCTCTTTATGCCTTGAAGCAAGGAAAGTCACAGCTCTGATCCGTACAACTTCCCAGCTTTCCGCCGGCACAGTCCTTGAGTGTCAGCTGCTGGAATCCCTTTTGGCGTTTCTAGTTTTCGAATGTTTACTTCCAAGTTTTATGGGAGAGGGAAGACCGAGCAGAAAGTGGAGAAGCCCAAGATGTCTAACAGCGTAGAAGATCGCCAGAAAGCAGCGGCGGAGGCGAACAAGGCGTGGCATGAGAAGATCAAGCACATGGAGGCTTTGGAGGAGAATAAACCTCGTCTCTCAATGGCAGCATTCACTGAAGAGATGAAGAGGGATGCTGACAGTCAAAAGTCTCTCATCCCGATAGTTGCCGAATTGCTTGCCAAGCTTGTAGAAGCGAATGACAAGGTAAGCTAACTTTCGTTGTCGGGCAGCTCGCATGTTCTTCTTACGCTCGGCGTTGTACAGGTTGCTACAGACCGTGAGCACATCACTGTATTCCATGCGCAGAAGGCGCCTGCTGTGAATGTCATCGACTATGCTGAAAGGTAGGGGAAGTGTTTCTAAGTAATGATCCTTGAGTTGGAATCGTAGAATCGCCAAATATTCTTCATGCAGCTATTGCTGTTTTGTCGTGGGCGTTATCTACATGGATAGATTTATACAGCGGCAAAGGATGCTAGAGAGGGATTTCAGAATCAACTCTTTGAATGTGCATCGATTACTTTTGGCGAGGTTGAGAAATCTCGCTTTCTCCCTTTGTTCCTCACTCTTGAACAGTGTGATGGTTGCTGCAAAGTTCCTTGACGACTTCTATTACTCTAATGAGTTTTGGGCGAAGGTGAGAATCTATTGTAGTCACTCGCTGCTGTCTGTGCTCATTCCGTTTGTGCCTTCAGATCGGAGGAGTTCCAAATGTAGAATTGAACACTCTTGAGATTGAGTTCTTGTTCCTTACCAACTTCGAGCTCCATGTACGCATGTCATCTTGTTCACTGCTTCAAGCGATTGAGAAGTGAGATGCAGGTCGCCAGAGATGTGTACGACAGTTACAGGGAGGAACTGCTTGCATGGAACCACGGTGCCCCATCGCGGTATGGCAAGGAACAGTTCAACAGCCTTCTGTGCGAAGTTCGCAAACCCAACCCATTCTTCTTCAATGAGCAGGTGTCAGAGGGTGGAAAAGAGCTTGCTGCGGCGCCCCAGGACGATGCAATGGTGATCGGGTGAAGATGGCGGCTGAGGACCGAACTGGGGAGCGCTAGTCTTACCTCTCGTCTGGTCGATCCAGGTTCCAGAAGAGTGATATAGGATGCGCTATCGACTGCAGAGTCCTGAGGGCTGTTGTCTGCGTGAGAGTAGAATGCATCTCAGTGCTTGTCATGTCGAGAAAGAACAAAAGATGAAGATGTTACTTTGCTGAGCTTTGACTCAGGGTGAGCCTTGCGGGAGTGACCGTTGTTGACTCTCAATCAGATTTTTCAAATTCTTTGCGCTCGTTCTGCATGAAGTGACGGGAGCGAATCATTTCAAGCCGCCCATGAAAAAAAGAATGTGCAAAGAGACCTGACAGACAGCCACTTTTCCTTGGCGAAATGCGACAGAACTTGATGATGCGCGGCTGATGTCAGCGCCCGGCCCAGCAAGAAAATGATTCGCTCGGAATTGTCAGTCTAGCAATGTGAGCCGGCCTGCGGCACTGTGACGCCCAGTGGCGGCCCGCGCCGCCGGCGGCCGGGCTCCCGCTCGGAACTCGCCGGGACTCGTGAAGTTCACTTGACAGTGCCACGGTGACTGAGTCCACGCCGGTGCCGCACTGTGACCAGACCGCGGCGCGCCGGGCCACGCCGGTAAACTTCCGTTCGAAGTTCAAGGGCCGGGCGGCCCGACTCTGGCACTTGGCAGGGTACCCGGCGCCACCGTCCGGTACTTGAAGCCCGGCTCACTGGGGACGCCGCCGTTGGCCCGGTCCGACTGCCCGGCCCGGCCCGGCCGTGGCGGCCGGGCGTCAACTTATGGTTCAATGGTTTAACTTCCACAATCGTGAAGGGTAGGGTCCTCTTGTCAGTGTCAGGCGGTGGTTGCACTTTGAATTCCGTGAAAAAAATTCCGAGCAAAGTAAACTACAAAATACCCCTACCCCCATTAAATCCACAAAAGTACCCTCTATTCACCACTTGATTCTGATAGTCTGACTTCCCCTACCATACAATTTCACTGGATCCATCAAATTATAACCCCCCCCCCCCCTCACTAAAATCTCGGATGCAAACGTAGTGCCGATTACGAACCTGTAAGCGAAGTTTGCTAGTCTACCCACCCTCTTTCCTATTCGCGGTCTATCTACCCCCTACGATACAGAATATCCCTCTTTCACCCCCTACAAAGCCTTTTTGTGAAGGGGTATCTGACGGTCAGTTGTGCTTCAACGCTCAGGTACCCCAGGCATATAACCCCCCACCCTTCATTTTTCATACGATGCCCTTTCCTAACACAAGGTCAAAAGACCCCTTGTAGTGACTTTGAAACTTTCAGGTCAAGTTCTAGGGTGGGGGTTGGTCATCCCCATGGGGGGTGGGGTAGTAATATAACTTGTCCTCATGGTAGTGGTTCTGGTTCGATTTGCGTCGTAAGAGGGGGTAGAGGACCGGATCAACTTAAGTTCGATACAGGGGTGGGTTCGGACCGAAGGTAGGGTGGGGCTCATTTTTTGATAGGCTGGATGGGGGTGGGTGGGTATCTCAAGTTGAACCAATATCGAGGGACGGGACTCTGACCAGAGGAATGTCATGGTGTGGTCTCCTTGATAGGGGGGTACTCTGAGGGTGAGTGAGGGGTATATGCATGGAGGGGTTGGGTACCAGAGTCGTTGGGGTGGTCCGGAGGAGCAGCAGGGATGTGAAAAATGGAGGAGAATCGAATCAAAGGGTGGGGTCATATTCAACAGGAAAGGAGGGGTGAAAACCACTTCAAGATAGAATGGCCAAACGGAGAGAGGTGGTAAAGTTTGAATTGAGATATGTAGGTAGGGTGATACACCTTACCATACTTTTAAAGACCATATTACACTAGTAATACCCGGTGTCTCCAAGACTTGCAAACTTCCATTGGTACAGGGGTGGTACTGTGGCTGCAGGGTCATGAAAGGATACTAGGGCATAAAAATGGACCTGTTTGGTAAGGGGGTAGGGTATTGATTTGGTTATCAGGATTGGGTGGGGGTGGCATGGGAATGGGTGGGGTATATTTCCATGGGCCCCATGGGGTGATTCACGAATTAGAAAATTTATCTTATCTATTTGAAATGTTTGAAATGAGGACATGAGGGGGTCTTTTCCCAACCATAACACTTGGAATTGCTAGGTGGGGGTATTTCACTGGTACAGATATTTCAGAAATAAGATTTCAGATTTGGTTTGGAGCTGAAGCAAGAGGTTGTGGGCGCGAGGGTTGTAGATGGGTTATCCGACTTTCGTGAGGGTGGGGTACTTATTGCTCAGTACAGCAGGGGTTGTATGTATGAAATTGATAGATTCGACTGGGGGTAGGGTACATTCTTAGCTGCGATGACAGGGTGGGGTGAAAGATACCGGGCAGGGAAATATGAACATGGTGGGTTGTAACGCTATTCCCAGGGGGTACGGAATATGTTGGGGTATATTGGGAGGTGGAAGGGTAGTAAAGGGAAGTGCATGGGGTGGGTCGGTGTGTTGGAATCGAAGGGGGTAGGGTTTTGGTAGGGAAGGGGGGTGGGGTTATGCCTGGGGAGAATGGGCTATGCATGGCAGTGCCGATATGAACTGGAGGAAGAAAGAAGAAGAGAGAGCGAAGGGAGTGAGAGGAGAGGTTGCGAAAGAAGGAGGGGATCGTGCATGAGAGGTTTTGATAAGTGACGAAAATGCATGGAGAAGCTCTTTTCAAGAGTGATGATGGAGTGATGGAAACGGGAGTGAATTTGGTCCTTGGGGAACTGGGTCGCACGATCGTTGCGATGAGATGTTGATAGTGTTCGGGAGGATTTTGGGTCAGACACAAGCAGAATTCATGTTCAGAATAGTGGGGTTAAGAAAAAAATACGTTTTTGCATGAAAATTCATGAGAGTTTGAAAATGATTTGTAGATCTTTCGAGCATTGATGATGTGTTATTCATGGCGTCCATTTGGCTGCTGACAACTAGTTCTAAATCTGCTCGATTCCAGGTCACGGTTAAACCCTTCGAAGGATCGTGTTGAACTCGAGGAGCTCCGACTAAATCGCAAAGTCTGGCTCGTTTACCGAGCGTCATTAGTCGTGTTAGGATATCTTGAGGACCTTCGTGAGCAATGCTTCAGTTTAGAAGTGCGTCGGATGCAGACGACATCTGCAAGGCAGTGGAAGCTGTGAGCGATGACATGGCAGCAGCAGCCTTGCAAGACCTTCCTCAAGAAGATTTCTACGGTGACGAAGGCAACAGTGATGACGAGGAGGATTCTGGCACCCCCACGGGCAAGGGCGAGAAGAAGAAGCGCAGCTGGCTGGGCAAAGTCGGCAAGGGCCTGTACAGGAGGAGTGTGAACTTGGCCAAGAGCTCTGGCCTCGTTGATACTCCTGCTTCCAAGGAGGACCAGGATCTCCTCGCCGCCGTCCTGTCATGTAGGTCGCCATTCGCGGTCAAGGCCGGCGGAGTTGGCATTCAGAATCCTGAGCATGCCAAGGCTTGCAGGAGCGTGCTTTCCTTGATGATCAGCCAGATGGGTCGCAACCTTCTCAGTGGTGGGAATGTGATGAACGTCAGTTTCCCCATCCAGTGCTGTCAGCCCAGGACTGTGTTGGAGATCGGAGCCCAGATGGGACAGTTCACGCACATTTATTTGCCTCGTGCTGCTGCTACGAAGGATCCCGTTGAGCGCATGAAGAACGTTGTGGCTTGCTTCGTTGCTGCGATGCCGCTGACATCCGGCAACTTCCTCAAGCCTCTCAACCCCATCCTTGGCGAAACGCTGCAGGTGGACTACGGAGATGGCTCAAAGTTGTACATGGAGCAGACTTGCCATCACCCGCCAGTGTCCTCCTTCTGCCTGGTCCCACCATCGCAATCGTACACTGTCTCAGGTTATCAGACCTTCAACGTTGGATGGGGATACAACAAGATGTTCTTGACAAATCAGGTGAGGCGTACAGCACGTGAGTGAGTGAACGAGGTGACTGACGCTGTTGAGCGCAGGGTGTTCGCACTGTGACGTTCTCCGACGGGAGCTCCATCAGCCTGGACTTTCCTCAGGACCGATGGATCAATGTGTTCTGGGGTGATATGGTTCATCAAACCATCGGGACACAGACGTTCACCGATGAGAAGAACGGCATTCGCTGCAGGTTGGAGTTTGGAAACCCCTCCAACAGAAAAGGAATCCCCAACGACTTCTTTGAGGGTGTTATCGAGCAATTCGACTCCAAGAACCCCGATGCTCCGGGAACCGCGTTGCATCAGGTGCAGGGAAGCTGGTTAGGGTTCGTGGACTTCGACAAGACACGCTACTGGGACATCCGAACAACGGAGAAGACCCCGATGAGTGTTCCTGCCGACATGCTCAAGTCAGACTCGCGCCATCGTACTGATCGCAAGTTCCTCGAAGCCAAGGATTTCAAGAAGGCACAGGTGCCTTGTGTCAATATTCGCATCCTATTCAAGTTCTGAAGTGTTTGTGTATTTCAGGCTGAGAAAATCCGATTGGAAGAGAATCAGCGCCATGAACGTCGTCTCAGGGAGGCCGTCCACGGAAAGTGAGTATATTGTCTTCGCGTGCGTCTTTGATTCATAGTTGACGTTTGCGTAGGCACTGAGTTGTCGTTTGGTTGTAACTTGCACGAGCAAGTGCTGAGAACGAGATTGAGACATTATTCATCTGTTGAGGGGAGATACACGTTCCATGTCATCGCGTGTGCCTTTGCATTACTATCGCACGCATCTTCTTGTGCTGGGGGTCGTTTGCTTTGTCGATTAAGTTTATATAAAACGAACGCATTTGAACTCTGTCGAATTCTTTTGCCGTCCTGATTTACACGCTGATACCTTATTGAACACCCTCTACCTTTGCCTTCTGATGATGTCTCCCATGTCCCTTGGTATGGCAATGATGATTTCAAACTTGATTAGAATGGCTTCTTTCTATAGGATGGAATTATGAGACGGGAATGCATGTAAGAACCCTCGACGGAACTGATACATGTTAAATGTCACTTCACTTCTTCTTGACCGAGAGTATCGAGTTGTGTAGTGACTCCAAGTCTGCCTCGACTTTCTTTGAGTTTGTCACCATCTTACGGAAATCAGCCAAGCTGATCTTGCCATCGCCATCTGCATGAGGTATCGTACTCAATACAGGGAGAAGTAAATACAAGGATTGCCTTACCAACATCTGCTGTTTCTATCAGAACAGCAACATCTTCGTTGGTCACTTCTCCAAACCCCAAGCTAATTGATTGCAACGTGTCATGAAAGAAAGGAGGAGCAGAGAGACTAGACATTACTTGATGAAGATGGAGCGAAGTACCTCGATGTCGACATATCCTGTCTCATGCGGGTCGTATACTTTGAAAGCCTTGGTGAGCACCAGCGTGTGAGTGTGTTGGAGGATTCAAGTAAATCATATCATCATCATCATCATCATCATCATCATCATCATCATCATCATCATCATCATCATCATCATCATCATCATCATCATCGTCTCCATAACATCTTCTTCTTCATCATCATCATCCTCGTCATTATCCCACCTCCTTGACTGGATCGAAATCTTTCAGCTCGTTATTGACCAGAAGCTTCTTCAGCGTGTTGAACCTAGCATGACACATCAGCCCTTTCGATCCGATCACTCATGTCCTCCCTCTTGCCCCCACCCCCGCCCCTGCCCCTGCCCCTGCCCTTGCTGTTTCCTACGCCCCTGCCCCTGCTGCTTCTCCCATCTTTACTCACGTGAAATCGGGCTCACTGATGAGAAACTTGTATTCTCGTGCTGGGAGATTCTTGTAGAATACACTCAATCTGCTCTCAGTCAGCACAGAGCGGGTCGTTCATATGCCCTCTCACCTCTGTTTCAGATCTGCAGGGGTCAGAACACCTTTCTTGTGCACATCAAAGAAGTCAAAGGCTGCTTTGAGCTCCTCCTCGTCCACTGTGTCATGATTCACAAACAGAACAGGGAGATGCTAGTAGCCCAGACCGTATACTCCCCCAAGCTCATTTCTCGGAACGGGATCTTCTTCACCCTCGTCTCTATGGGGACTCTTGGAGCTGGCAGCCTCCTCCGACATCTTCCTGATGTCAATCACGCCGTCACAAAAGCCATACGTAATTGGCGGTATCCCCTTGCTAATCAACAATAAATGTCTCTCCCCAGTCATTAAACCATAAATTTCTCTCCCCAATCACTCTACTTCACTTTCTACGTCCTGTTCCTCATGTCAATTCTGATCCTCATGTGGATCATGTCAACTCTTCAATCAACATCTCCATCTCCATCTCCACCTTCCCAACTCCTGCAGCCCACCATTTTGTGGAATAACCGCAACCATTGCACAACCCGTACAACACACAATTCAGTTGTGTCCTCGTACACCCGGTACTTCGTAGCGATACAAGGCTCTATCACACCGGTACCTTAATAACCCTCCCCCCCCCTCCACCCCCTTTCAGTTAACAGGCTCGGCGGCCCGGGCCGGGGACCCGGCCGGCTTCTCAACTCACTGAGACCCAGCGGCTCCCGGGCGACCGTTACTGGTTACGGTCGGACGCCGAGTCGTCACTGACTGACTGCAAGTTTTACTCAAAGTTAAGTTAAAGATCAGTACGAGGACAATCAGGAGAGTCGAGGAGGCTTGACCCTGACACTGTCGCACAGGCCAAACGGCGAGAAGAGAAAAGACAGCGAGAACCAAACCCAATCCTGCCAACTGCTGCCCCCAAACTTAACTGATACCTTCACTTAACGGCGCGCTGGACAATCCCCCCGCGCAGCCATGCCAGCGATGTCGCAGTGGCCGCCGCCGAAGGAATGAGACGCATACCGGGATGCACCCCGGGCGATGATGGCAGCGTAGGACAGGGAGGCCTTGAGCTGACGAAAGATCCTGGACCGGATGCGTTTGCAAGTCGGATCACCTGAGACGTCTTGCGAGGCCAAGAGACCACTGAATCCTCCGTCCTTTAGGCTCAAAGTTAAGTTAAAAATCAGTACGAGGACAATCAGGAGACTCCCGCCGGTGCCCGCGGCCCGGGCCTGGCATACGCCGGACTCAAGGGGAAAACAAGTTCGCCGATGATGGCCGGGCCCGGACCGTCAGTCCGACCGTGAGCGGCCGGGTCCGATCGGCACTTGATAGCCAATGGTGACTCAGTGAGTTTGTTCTGACCGTGCGGCATCGGTGAGATTCCTGGACAGTTCTCGAGCCCCCCTCAGTTTCATGAAAGGGGGAAGAGGGGTCAGTTTGCAGTAAAGAAGGGGGGTACAGTCCCAGCCTGGGGTAGAGCAGGATGAGGCAACGACCAGGGCGGAGAGTAGAGACCAGTGCTGAGAGGAGGAGGAGGAAGAGAGGGAGGAGACGATGAGAGCTGGGAGGAGGAGAAGAGAGGAGTGAGATGAGAGAAGATGATGCATGCGAAGAGAAAATCTTTGCAGGTGAGAAGAAGAAAGAGCAGAACAGTGATGGAAGTGTCTTTTTCGGGCCTCATAGGTTCGCATGGAATTTTTGATGAAATTAGTAGGTGGTGGAAACAATGACGATGACGATCATCAAAAAACTATGTTGTGCTCATTCTTGGTTGTCACAGTGTGCAAGGACACGATTTCCATCGAGTTTGAAGCTCTGAGGACCTTCTGATTGCAAACGGCATGACATGACAGACAGGTCGCTCCCTGGCATCAGCCTGCATGTAGTTGCAGGATGAACTTGATCTCTTGTCTCCTGTAGTCTTGCTGCTGCTCAAAGTTGATGCCCGCAATGGCTTCCTGCTCTGGAAGCCTTGGCGGGCAGCGACGCTGGGTCCAAGTGGCCTTGGTATGCCTTCTGTACCTGGAGGAAGCAGCCATGGTACGGTTCAAGATCCCCAACTCTGTCTGCGGCAGGTCTTTACGCCATGAGAAAAGTGAGGAGATGAACATTGCCGCAGGCCGCCCATCACATACCTGTGCGATGCTGTTCCGATCGGTTTCACTGGTACCACCCCTCCTCCTTGCTCTCCTACCCCACTCAGCGAGTCTCAAAGGAGCTCCTCCGCCGGCCTCGCAGGAGTGGTCTGCTGTCACCTACGACAACGGGACCAAGAGGTCAGCTAACTTCCTGCTGGCTGACCTTATCAACCTCTTCCTTTCAAGGATTCCGTCGCAACATTGCGTACCCGATCAGTTCTGCAAGTACGGGATGGTCACATACGTGAGTTGTCGGTGCGCCATGTAGCTGCTGTTGAGTTCTGTCCCAGGCGTTCGGTCGCAACAATTATGCTCAGCTAGGAGTGGGAGATTATGTCGACAGGAAGGAGCCAACGCCCTTGTCAACCGTGTACGCGCGAATAAGCAAACTTCGATGTGACATGCGGGAGAGTCTGGTGAGGCAGTTGGTGACTGAAAGAGCAGGTGGAGCTCAGTCCTGCATCTTGCAGTGGGAGGGTCCAAACACCCTCTACTCATGGGGGAGAGACGATCACGGTCAGCTGGGTCAGGTGACGCGCGTCAAAGGTGCTAGCGACGCGTGTGCTTGACGGGCTTGCTGACGCAGGGAGCGCATTACAACGACACTCTTCCGAACGAGGTTCAGCCGATCTCAATCGTTGAGTTGGCGATGGGCTTCCAGCACACGGTGTTGACGACTCCTCCTTCGGCAGGTGAGGCAGAGCTTGCAGTTTCTCTCTTACTCGCTGTTCTGGCAGTCGACTTCTTCGAGTACGATGGGTTTGCTGGCGCGCAGAACGACTTTGTTTTCTACGGACAAGCTTCGCAGCCGATAGCCCCTGCGACTGATTGTCCCAGATGCGTCCCATGGGAAGGCACGCCGGTGCCTGCAGGCGTCAAGCAGACCTACAGCGGAAGGCAGTGCTACAGCCCCAGCTGGGCTGCCGCCAACGGCATCAAGCTTGTCAACACCTGGTGCTGGATCGGACAGTTTGCTGCTCAGGTGCTTGTCAGAAGCTGGTCGAGCCTGTTGCTTGACTGTGACGTGGCAGCCTTGCTCGAGCGCCCTGAAGGCTCCTATCGGCATCAACTGGTGGATTTCGCCATGCAGCGACCTCGCCTTGTTCAGCATTACCCCAAACCCTCCTCTTAGGCTAACCAGCGGAGCGATATGGCGAAAGGTTCCTAGCCAGTGCTGAGCGCCGGCAGTCTGTCCTGACGTGGGAACAGCAAAAGGTCAACGTGTACGATGCTTGGCAGTGCGGGTTCTTCTTCTCGATCTCCAAGAACGACCCGACAGGGGGCGGCAACGGGATAGTGTTTGCCATTCAGAACCATGGCATACAAGAGCAAGAGAGACCGCTGGGAGGATCCGGAAGGTGACAAGGGAAGGAGGACATGCCTGTCCGCTGATGTCTTGCCTTTCCTCGACAGCGATCTTGGGATAGCGAGGTCTACCAAGACTTCGCTTTCGGATGGAATCCCAAACTCCTTTGGTATTGAAATCTCGACGGCGCCTGGTAAGGGAGGGATCAACGTCCGAGGTTGTTACGGCGCGCCCTACACGACCATCACTGCTGGCTCTCAACAGAACTGCTTCTTGGTTCAGAGTGAGCTCCTTGCTTCTGTGTGATGTGCCAGTACAAGTCATGAGCTTCCAGGCGAGTGGAAGCCTCGATCCACCTGCAACGTGTACCGTCCTGAGACTTGCTGCTCCGACGCGCAGCTGCAAACGGTCAACTCGTGCTTTGTAAGTTGTGTGCTGGCAGAGGTCGAGTCATGACGTGTGGGATTAGATGGAGGACGTGAAGGACGGGGCAATGCATCAGCTGCTCATCGTCTACCGCCCGTTTGTGATCGAAATCTTCCTGGACGACACGAGGAGCCCCAAGATAAGACACGACCTGGACCTCCGATCTCACATCTCCTCCTACGTCTGCAGCGCTGGCCCGAAGCAAGGAGCTGCATGCAAGTGCGACGGCGGGGCAGTCTGTGGAGGAGCCGTGGACACAGTCACCTGCCTCGCCTACTCGTGCGTCAAGGACGGGAAAGCGTGGATCGGTTTCACCTCCTCCACGGGAGATGCATACAGCGTACACGAGGTGCTGAGTTGGAACTTCCAGAACTTCGGTCAGAGCGGGGGGGTGGACACGTTCGGGTTCAACCTCTACAGCCAGCTGGGACTGGGGGACGCAGTCAACAAGGATCTTCCTAACCTTATCACGTCCCTCGACGGAGTTGTCATCCTCGACTTTGACGCGGGGGCCTACCACAGCATCGCCGTCACCACGTCAGGGGACGTGTACACGTGGGGGGCGAACAACCTGGGACAGCTCGGGCAGGGCGATCTCTCGATTAGGACGACCCCCACCAGGGTTCGCTTCCTCCAGAGCGCCGTCACCTCGGCGCAGAACGGGGACCCATGCATCTGTGGTAAGATCGACCCCAACTGCGCCGCCCTGCCGGCAGTCTTGCCCTGCACCTTCAAGCCCGTCAAGGTCTCGGCTGGCGCCTATCACTCGCTGGTGGTGGTGCAGAGAGACGCAGGGGCGCACGAGGTGTGGGGGTGGGGCGACAACTCCTTCGGTCAGCTGGGCTGCCTCGTCATCTCAGGAGACGTCAAGTGCCCCTGGACGCTGCAGGGGCCCGGGACTCGGGGCAACTGGCCACAAGCTGCTGTTCTTAACGACCCCTGCTCGGGCTCCAACGTGCGCTGCATGTCCATCCCCCGGAAGTTGAGCATGTTTGATCCCCTAGGGGATTCTGGGATGGTGTTCAGCCCCCTCGACCTCGTCTCTGGCTCCTTCCACAACGTCCTCATCACGGCCTCCTGCGCCAGCTGCCCAATGCCCTCGCTCTGCAGCACGCTCAAGCTCTCTCGCGCTGACTGTGACTGCGACGGAGGGGCGAGGAGTCGCAACACGATGCTGGGAGCGTCCGCCGACATCCTCTCAACGACCCCTTGCATCGCGAGGGATGGCGAGATCTACACGTGGGGCAGCAACGTGAGGGGTCAGCTGGGGACCAACTGCTCGGGAGGTGAGAACGTCAACAGCCCCAGCCAACGCATGTGCCCAGACTCTCCTCTCCCCATCCGGCTCAACAGCGACAGGCCCATTCCCCTCCTCCCCTACATGCCCTCCGTCTTCCCCTTCTTGGGGTCCACCATGGTGTCCAAGCCCACCCAGGTAACGGCGAGGGAGGATCATAACCTGCTGATCATGAGCGACGGCACGCTGCTGGTGTGGGGTTCCAACTACTACGGCGAGCTGGGAAAGGGCGATCATATCTTCAGCGACGCTCCCACCAAGGTCCCCTACTTCGAGGCCGCAGAGCTCCCGGCCCCCAACGTCAGCCCTTTGGACGGGCTCGGAGACAGCATCAAGACGCTGCCGCCCAAGGACAACAAGGCAATGCGCCCTGTGTCGCTCGTTGCCGCCGGGCTGCATCACTCGGTAGTGGCGACGGAGTGCGTGGGAGCAGGCTTCACCTACGACGGTCTCTGCAACTGCCGGAGGGGATGGAAAGGGCCGGACTGCAACATCCGCTGCAACGGGGGGACGGCGAGCCCGTGCAGCAACAGGGGGACCTTCGACAAGTCGAACCGAGTCGGGGATCGAGCTACCTGTAAGAGCTACCTCGACTCGCTCGCTCGGCAGGGCCTGTGGAACAACAACGGCACGTGCGTGGGGTTGAAGACTTCGGAGACGTCAACCAAGTCAGGATGTCCGGGTACCCTCGTTGCCAACGACTGCCCTCAGGCCTGTCAGTTCTGCGACGCAGAGCTCTACGACTGTGAGAACGACGGGACTTGCACGTGCACCAACGGGTACACGGGGCCAGACTGCGGCATGCAGTGTATCCCCAAGGAACCTCAGTACAACTTCCAGACGCTGGGAGGTCAAGCGCTGTGTCAGTGTAAGTCCTGCTACACGGGTCAGTACTGCAATGTTGACATCTGCAACGTCAGCGGTGAGTTTGACTTGTTGGTCGTTTGACGTGCTTGACCTGAGAGACATGTGAAGGTACCTCGATAGCGACAACGCCTGCCGGCTCCCAGACTAGCGCTGCTCAACGAGAGATGACTGGGTGCGCTGCACTGCTGGCATTGTTAGTGATGCTGTGGAGCTTGAGATAGCGAGACGGTCTGGTAAGAACAATATACATTCATTCATCATGATACAACATGTCATTGTGACTAGAAGAGAATATGCGCGTACTGGGTTTCTAGAAGTTTGAGCCTCCTCTGCCATGCACTTGTCAGAGGGGAAGGAGAAGATCGGAGATCACCTGGCACTCCTCGTATGATGGAGAAACGATGTTGAGGGAGAGACTTTCCTGAAGGATAGTGAGGAGAAGTGGAGGAGGAGAGATGAGCAGGTAGCGGAGGTAGAAGGAGGAGGACAAGTAGAGGAGGATAAGTAGGAGGAGTAGCGGACAAGGGAAGAGCAGGACAGGAGAGGGCAAGAGAGTTGAGAGGACAGTATGTGGGGAAGGGGAACGACGGGGCAAGATGAGATGAGGGAGATGAAGCAGCAGAGGAGATCGAGCGCCTTGTCCAGCAGATCATAGGCGACTTGGATGTCCTTCTTGATGGCCTTCTTGCCGCGTGACGTGTCACTGAGCTTCTCTTCTGCCTCGAGAGTCTTCTGAAACAGAACTTCCACGAGCTCCTGTGGAAAGAGAGGAGGAGGAGGAGGAGGGGGAGAGTGTCTGGCAAGGAAGAGAAAGAGGAAGAGGAGGAAGGAGTGGGAGGAAGAAGCGGGAGGAAAAGGAAGGAGGGTAGGAGGAGGGTGGAGAGGGTGGAGTATCGAGGAGGAGAAGGACGGAAGGAGGGGAAAGGGTAGACGAGGAGATCTCAGTAGCGAAACTTCGCCTGCTCGGCATCACCTTGATGGCAAACTTGAGATTCTTTCGCAGGTTGCTGCTGTGCGGATCATCTTCGGCGTCGAGGTGGCGGCAGGCTCGTAGCAACGAGTTCAAGTCGTTCTGCACGAGGGAAAATCAGGAGGCGCAGGAGAGAGAGGGGACAAGCATGTATGACATGACATCATACCATGTCGAGCACATGACATGACATGACATGACATGACATGACATGACATCATTTTAGGGTCCATCTCTCCCCTCCTCTCTCACCTGTACGTCAACTATGCTCTGCAGCAGCATCAGCTCTTCCTTGGGCCATGCAAACGCCTCTAGCGCCTCCTTCGACAGCGCTCCCTCCCTCTCCAGAGCCTTAGCTTCCGCTAGCAGCGACTTGGCGTCGTCGAAGTTTCTCATCGCCCTCATCGTTTCCTTCACTCGCTCGATCTGAGGAGCAAAACGCTCGGCGCGGGCCAGCAGCTCCTGATGAGCCTTGGAGGCTTTTTCAGCCGCCTCGTTGGCTTTCTGCAGAGCCGTCAAGGAGGGGAAGCAGGAGGGAGGGAGGGGGAGAGGGGAGGAGAGCATGGGAGGGAGGCAAGATGGGGGGGGAGGAGGTGAGAGAGGAGAGAGAGGAGGAGGAGGGAGAGGAGAGGAAGCGGACGGGAGGAGCATAGGAACGGATAGAGGAGAGAATTCTGCGAAAGACCTTCTCAGCCTTCGAAAGCTTAGCTCGAGCCTTGTCCAGGTCCTTCACTTCCTCCTCCAGTTTCAGCACCTCCTTCTTCGCCTTGCTCTTGTCGAACACTGAGAACAAGTTCATAGCTGCCTTCATCACCGTCGCGGTCCCCGGCCTCTTCTTGGAGTGTTTCTGAGCAGAGGAGGAGGCGGAGGGAGGGCGATGGTGGTGGTCGGTGGAGGAGGAGGAAGCTGGGTTCCTGGTGCGTATGGTCATGTAGGAAGGACTCTCAGACGCCCCGTTCTGCTCTAGAATGGCAGCGATGTTCTTGTAGTTTTCTGCCTCCTTGCCGCGCACAAGGGAAAGGGCATGGCAGCTTCTTGCAAGGGTCAGCGGCGTCTCGCCTGCAGAGTTGGAAGGATTCAAGTTGCAACTGCGGAAACAAGGGTGAGAGAGATGCACTCAGTAGGGATGATGAGGATGAGGATGATGATGATGATGATGATGATGATGATGATGATGATGATGATGATGATGATGATGATGATGATGATGATGATGATGATGATGATGATGATGAGTGGAGGAGGAGGAGGAGGAGGAGGTAGGAGGAGGAGGAGGAGGAGGAGGAGGAGGAGGAGGAGGACGGAGGAGCGAGGAGGAGGAGGAGGGGAGGAGGAGGAGGAGGAGGAGGAGGAGGAGGAGGAGGAGGAGGAGGAGAGTAGTCGAGTTAGCTAGATGTTCTAACAGGAGAGGAGAGGAGAGGAGAGGAGCATTGAACACGAGGAGATCACAGGAAGCATGAGCAGGAGGATCGGAGGGAAGATCTTGCTCCACGACGCTCACCCTGACTGAATCAGAGCATCCACTGCTTCCTCATGCCCGAAGACGGTCGACAGCAGCAGCGCCGAGTTACCCTGCCCGTCCTCAACATCAGGATGCACCCTTTGCCCAGCAGCTCCTGCAGCTCCTTCGCATCCCCTGACCTTGCCGCTGCAAGATCGCTGCTTCACCCTCTCCAGGGGATCCGAGGTCGCCTCCATTCCGGCTGCTCCTGCTGCTCCTCCTTCCCGCCGCCTGCTCGCCTCCAGCATGCTGGTGTCTGCTCCCTTCTCTCGGAGGTAATCCGCCACCTCTTCATGCCGGTGAAGCTCAGCAAGCACCAGCGCCGTCCTCCCCTCTGCATCCTTGTTGTCGATCTCCGCTCCTCTCCTCAACAGCGTCCTAACTGCCTTCTTCTGCCCGCACGTGCTTGCTACGTGCAGAGCAGTACGGAAGTGTTCGTCCCGGAGGTCAGGGTCGACTATGCTTCCGTCCTCTATCATGGCATCCAGCTTGTGGTGCTTTCCCTGTTCCGCGGCTCGAAACCAGGCCTGCTCTGTCCTCTTTCTCGCCTCCTCGATCGCTCTCTCATTGGCACGCCTCGCCTCCTCCTCCAGCTCCCTCATCCTCTCCTCCTTTTGCCGCAGAAGCCTCTCCTCCTCCTCCCGCAGGACCTGCAGGTGCTCTTCCTGTTTCCTCTCGATGAATTGTCGCAGACCCCGCGTGATCACCTCCTCCTCGTCCTCCTCCATCCCCGACCTCCGCAGCTCCTCCTGCGCCGCTGACAGCAGCGACTTTGCGTTGCCGAACTGCTTCTTCTCAGCCGCAGTCTTCGCGTCCTCGCACAGTTCCATCCCCTTCTTCCGATGTAGCTGTCGCTCATTCTCTCTCTTCTCCTCCTCCGCTCGCATCCTCGCCGCGATCTCTGCCTCGAGCTTCGCCCTCGCTTCCTGTTCTTCCTTCCTCCTCCTCGCCTCTGCCTCCTGCTTCTTCCGCTCGATCGCCTCCTGCTCTCTCGCCCGCTCCTCCTCGGCCTTTCGAGCCTCAGCTGCCAGCCTGCTTTGCTCCCTCCTCTGTGCCTCTCGCTCCAACGCCTTCTGCTTTCCTCTCTCCTGCGCCAGCCTTTTTTGCTCCTCGAACCCTTCTAACTTCCTCAAGCTCCCATCCACCTCCTCCTTCTCCTCCTTCCTTGAAGCTTCCTCTGGCGATGACCATGCGCTCTTCACCTCCTTCGGAACGTCAGAGGAGACAGTCGGTTTCGACTCCCCTTCCCCCTTCTTCTCTTCCTCCTCCTTCTGAGCCTGCTGCCTTTCAAGCACTTTCTTCCTCCCCCTCTCCCTCGCAAGTCTCTTCTGCTCAGCAAAGGAGGCAGCTCGGCTCGCAGACTGCAGCTGGAATCCTGCCAGAGGCCTGTCGACCGAGGACGGAGGGGAGAGATCGGATAGACGTAGCTCACCGTCCTCCACCTTGTGCGGGGCTGAGATGGAAGAGGAGGAGTGAAGAGCAGGAGGAGGAGGAGGAGACGAGTGGGGACGAGCATCTCCAACAGAGTTTGCCTCCTCCTTCCCTTGGCTCTGTTGCGCCTCAGGCAAGGAGCAAGACTCCTTACCCCTGTCCTCTCCCTCAGCTGCAGCATGTGGAGGCTTCAAGACCTCGGGCAAGTGACTTCCCTTGTCAGCTTCTTGTTTCCCAAACTCTTGCTTCTCTTGCTCTTTCATGCTCAACTGCCGCAGTAGAGCCCTCTGCCTCCCCCTCTCCCGCGCCAGCCGTTTCTGCTCCTCCAGAGTCGTCGAGGACCTCTTACTCAGCCATGAAGGTTTGGTCGAGCTCGTCGGAGCATCTTTCTGCACGTCACCTGCGAAAGTTTTATTTTACTGCAACAAGTTTACGAGACATGTCAAGAGATCACTTGTTTCCGATTCCTCCCCTGTGGGCGGAACTTCGCTCTCGGGCTTCGCTGGCTGCAACATCTCAGGTCATTCAAGAAGGAAGACGTTTACAGATCAGCAGAATGAGATGAGGGAGGGAGGGAGGGAGGGAGGGAGGGAGGGAGGAGGAGGAGGAGGAGGAGGAGGAGGAGGAGGAGGACGGACGGA